ATATATATATATATATATATATATATATATTTTGTTTTTTTTTTTTTATTTGTCATGTTTTTAAATGAAATGAATAAAATTTATAAAAAAATATATAATAAAAAGTATTCACAGCGCTTCACTTTATGTTACAGCCTTATTCCAAAATAAAATAAATTATTCTTTCCCTCTAAATTTTACACACAACACCCCATAATAACAACCCCCAGAAACATTTTAAAAGGTTTGAAAATTTATAAAAAAAATACAAAACTAAGAAATCACATTTACATAAGTATTCACAGCTTTTGCCATGAAGACGACATTTGAGCTCAGATGCATGTTTCTATTTATCATCTTGAGATGTTTCTACAACTTAATTGGAGTCCACCTGTGGTAAATTCAGTTGACTGGACTTGATTTGGAAAGACACACACCTATTTATAGAAGATCCAACAGTGGACAGTGATGTCAGAGCACAAACACCAAGCAAGGAATTGTCTGTAAATCTCCAGACAGGATTGTGTTGAGGAACAAATCTGGGGAACAATACAGAAACATTTCTGCTACTTTGAAGGTCACATTGAGCTCAGTGTCCTCAATCATTCATTGATGCAAGAAGTGTGGAACCACCAGGACTCTTCCTAGAGCTGGCTGACTGTCTAAACTGAGCAATTGGGAGAGAAGGGCCTTAGTCAGGGAGGTGACCAAGAACCTGATGGTCACTCTGTCAGAGCTCCAGCATTTCTCTGTAGAGAGAGGAGAACCTTCCAGAAGGACAACCATCTTTGCAGCAATACACCAATCAGGACTGTATGGTACAGTGCCAGAAGAAAGCCACTCTTTAATAAAAGGAACATGGCAGCCTGTCAGGAGTTGGACAAAAAGCTCCAGAAGGACTCTGAGACCATGAGAAACAAAACTCTCTGGTTTGATCCAACATTTTTCAGTCAGGTCATCTGGACAGTTTCTTTTTTTGTGCTGAAATGTTTTGACTTCGATACAGAAGGCTTCATCAGTCAAGGAAACACACAACAAAACTGATTCTTCCCCCAACAGCTTACTCCAAAGTGGAACAAACCAGTTATGTTGGTGCTAAGTTGGTCTCTTGTCACGCCCCCTCCTCCATTGCCGGCCCTCTTCCTTGTTGACAGTCGTGTCAAACTGGTTGAAAACAACAAAGTCCATGCTCAATAATCCAGGTATACAATCCAACATTTTTCAGTCAGGTCTGACTGAAAAATGTTGGATTGTATACCTGGATTATTGAGCATGGACTTTGTTCTCTGGTCTGATGAGACAAAGATTGAACTTTTTGGTGTGAATGCCAGAGGATCCAGGGTCATATATCCTCACATAAGACCCATGGAGCATGTTGAAGGGCATTAAGTGCATGACAGACTATAAAGGCAGGGGTGTACATTGCCCTAGGTCAGAGTTATTCAACAAAACTGCTCAGGGGGTCGCAGTTTCTGAAAGCCAACAGCTCAGGGGCCGGACATCCAGCGATTAAAATCATGAACCAAAGTTTACAATAATCTGTTACCTTTAAATTTGTGTATTTTATTGCATTGAATCATAAATGCAATAAACAGAACCCAAACCCAGAACCAAAAATAAATATATATAAAAATAATACTAATAATATATGTATATATGTACAAAGTATACAGTATATATTTTAATGAGGGGAACCTGACGGAAGCCACCTGTGGGCCGGAAGTGGACCGTGAACCGCCAGTTGAATAGCCCTGCCCTAGGGACTCATCACTCACTCATCACTATTTGATGCTCTTTGTGGACTTCACGTCTGCCTTCAACACCATGATGCCTCAAACCCTGATGGACAAACTACTCACACTAGGACTAAGCCCCTCCATTTGCAACTGGGTCCTAGACTTCTTAACAAGCAGACCACAGTTAGTGAGGATCCACAACTTCTCCTCCTCCACTACAACCCTCAGCACTGGCTCCCCTCAGGGATATGTGCTGAGCCCCCTCCAGTTCACTTTGCTCACGTATGACTGTGCACCTACCCATCCAGGCTGTCATATTGTAAAGTTTGCAGATTATACAGCTGTGGTTGGATGCATCACAAACAACAATGAGTCCAGCTACAGGCAGGAGGTGGAACAGCTGGAGAGATGGTGCAGGAAGAACAACTTAACATCAATGTAAAGAAGACAAAGATGATTGTGGACTTCAGACAGAACAAACACACCTACCCCACCACCCCACCCCCAAACATAGGAGGATCTGCAGTAGAAGTGGTCTCCAGCTACACGTACTTGGGTGTGCACCTGAATGACAACCTCAGCTGGGGCAGCAACACTACCAGCCTGATCAAGAAAGCTCATCAGGGACTCTACTTCCTCAGGCGGCTGAGGTGAGCTGGTCTGGGAAGCTCAGTCCTCACCTCCTTCTACAGGTGTGCAGTGGAGAGCATCCTGTGCTCCAGCATCAACGTGTGGCATGGAGGCTGCACAGCTGCAGAAAGAAAAGCTTTGCAGAGAGTGGTGAAGGCTGCACAGAAGTCTGTGGGAGTCAGTCTCCCCACCATCACAGGCATCTACACCTCCAGATGCAGGAAGAGGGCCACCTGCATCACCCAGCACACACTTTTTGCCCCGCTCCCCTCAAAAAGGAGGTTCAGGAGCATTAAGTGTAAAACCACTACACTGATGAACAGCTTCTACCCTGAAGCTGTTAGACTCATGAATTTCTACCCAGGATTATCACTGTGAAAAAAATCACTGTAATGCCACTTGATTGTGGATATGTACTGCTGATTATCCATGCTGCTGACCTCATGCTGCTGATTTATTTCATGTTGCTGTGTTCATTCGTGCTCATCTGTTCACACAAACTCATGTTCGTGCTGCTGTTGTTCAGCATATTGTTTTTGCACTGGTAGTGCTTAGTGTGTTCTTAGTTTAGTGTATTTCTTAGTTCATATCTTAGATCTTATTAATATTTTTCTTTACAATTTATATGTAAGTTGGATGTAACTGGGACCTCGTATACACAATTTCATTCCACCACATGTAACACATGAGATGCGAATGACAATAAAGAAAACCTTGACCTTGACCTTGACCTTGAATGCCAGACATCATGTTAGGAGGAAACCACGCACTGTTCATCACCAGGCCAATACAATCACTGCAGTGAAGCATGGTAGTGGCATCATCATGCTATGGCAATGTTTTTCAACAGCAGGAACTGGCAGACGAGTCAGGATAGAGGAAACATGAATGCAGCAATGCACAGAGACATTCTAGATGAAAACCTGCTCCAGAGAGCTCAACCTCATGATGAATGATGGTTCATTTTTCAGCAGGACAACAACCCAAAGCACATGGCCAAGATCTCAAAGGAGGAGCTTCAGGACCACTCTGTGAAGGTCCTGGAATGGCTTCAGGACCACTCTGTGAAAGTCCTGGAGTGGCTTCAGGACCACTCTGTGAAGGTCCTGGACAGACCCAGCCAGAGTCCAGACTTGAAACAGATTCATCTTTGGAGACATTTGAAAATGGCTGAGCACCGATGCTTCCCATTCAACCTGTTGCAATTTGAGAGGTGCTGCAAAGAGGAATGAGCCAAACTGCCCAAATAAAGTTGAGTCAAGCTTGAGGCTGTGATTGCTGTTAAAGGTGCAACAACAAAGCATCAAACAAAGTCTGGGAATACTTAGGGTGCATTCACACCAGCCCTGTTTAGTCTGCTTTAATTGAACTCTACCTCGTTTTCCTAGGAAGTCCGGTTCGTTTGGGGAGGTGTGAACGCGCCATCGAACTCTGTCATGGAACAAAAAGGCGAACTCTGGCCCGGGCTAAAACCTAGGTCTCGGTCCAGAAGAAGAAGAAGTGTCTTCAGAGGTTTTTGTGTCGTTTCTTTCAGTAGTTCTTGGTGCAGCGCCACCACAGGCGAGCGGGGGAACAGGTTGGTTCAACAGGTTGACTCGACTGCACAGTGCAGTGTAAATGCAAATGCACCAGCTCAAATATAAACAAAATATTATGAATATTGGTCCCCAACCGAACCAAGTCTACCGGACTATCAGGTGTGAAAACAACCTTAAGTACTAAGGATGGTTGAGTACATGTTTGTTTCTTATGTTTTATTTTTTTTATATAAATTTATAAACCTCAAAAAAAAAATGTTCATGTTGCATTAAGGAGTGTTGTGTGAAGATGTTTTAGGATTTTTTAAATTTTCTTCCCATTTTGGAAAAATGCTGTAACATAATAAAATGTAGCAAAAGGGAAGCGCTGTGACTACTTTCCAGATGCACTGTACATGTCACAAACACCCAGTTGGACAAGTCAAACAAAAAATACCAAGTCATCACTTGAATGAATGTGAATCACACAACCAGATGTTTTTATTTCTCCAACCCAGTACTGGAAAAACCTGCATTTTTATGGTAAAACTCTTCTGAGGAGACAGCACTGTGCCATGCTTTCATATTTAATGAATCAAGTGTTTACTTGTGTAATTAAACGTAGATGTTAAACAACTGTTAAAATACACTAGAATGCAGTAAATGGCATCTACTTTTTCTGGGGTGTGTTTGTGCTATGACTTTGGATCAGTGGTACAGAAGTTGTCTTTTGATCAGAAGACTTGGAGTTTTGTTCAAAGCCCATGCAATGGTCTGATGTGTTCCCCCACTGCCCCTAAAATGTCTATTGGTGAGTGATAACTTTCACAGCCCGTTTAAAGAAATAAGCACACTCACACTTTCTACCAGTCTCTCCAGCTTGGTCTCGGTCGGAAAGTATTTCCGGATCTTTTCTCGGACCTTGTCACAGAACTCTGTGGTGAAACCTCCTGCAGACTCCCCCTCTGCTGGCTGAGAGGAAAAATTATCCAGCAGGTCACCGATGAAATCAGCAGCTGGACCAGAACCAGCGAGGACCAGCCATGGCGTTGCTCTCTTCAGGGACGTGTCTAGTCTCTGAGTCAACAAAACAACAATAGAGATTGTATCTTTTGAAAAAGTTGTGAGCTGAAAAGGATAACATCAAACACAACTGACACTTGAAAACATATTTAACAGTTTCTGTATGGATGCTAATGTAAAGTGGTACGTCAATGTCCCCTGTCGCTGAGGGATTTGAATAGTGGGTGCTTATTGTAATCAAGATGAGTGTCTTTTTCTGCACAAAAACTGAACAGAAGATGCAAATAAACCTTAATGTTTGTGTGCAAGATATTCAAGTAGGTAGAAATTACACTGTGGAGAAGAACAGAGGTACCCAACAAAGTCCAGTCAGGTCATCTAGACAGTTTCTTTTTTATTTGTTTTTGTTGAGACGTTTCATCCTTCATCCAAAGGACTTCATTAGTCTGACGAGCCACAACAAACTGAGTCCCACAAGCAGCACACCCACAAAGTAGATCAACCAGTTTGCTGGTGATATGATGGTTTCTGGGGTCCATCCTCTCCCCCGTCAACTCCTCTGAGGCAGCCATGGCAAAGTGGTTCAAAACACCAAAGTTCATGCTCAATAATCCAGGTAGAAAATCCAACAAAGTTCAGTCAGGTCAATTTGTCACCAGCAAACTGGTTGGTCCATTATGTGGGTGTGCTGCTTGTGGGACTCAGTTTGTTTTGCTCCTCAGACTGATGAAGTCCTTTGGATGAACGACAAAACATCTCAACAAAAAAATAAACCATCCAGATGACCTGACTGAACAACAGGGTTGACAGCAACACATCCAGTACCAACACTCTGAACACAGAGGTCTCCCAGGGGTGTGTGATGAGATGACTTCTCCATCCTCCTTACCCACGACTGCACACAGACTAAGGCCCTATTTACACGGACACGATGGTAGGAAACATGTTTTTTTTTTTTGTATGTTAATTAGAGGAAAAGATTTGCGTTGACACGGTCACATTTTGGGTTTACATGCATCCGGAGGATTCCCCCCCGCCTACCCGAATCCGCTGTAGTTACCATGCCGGGTCATTAGATGGCGCTGTGAATTTTGTACCTTCACCTAATGCGCATGCGTGCTGCCTCGGCACGCTGTTTTCCTCTGGGCTAACCATCTAACAACAACGTAACGTAACAACAAGTTAAAGCTGGATTCTGCAGGTAAATCAACATTCTTAATAATGTTAGTTTGTGTTTACTTCGGTTACAAAACAACCAACTGAGTTTTATTTTTCCTGAAAGAAGAAGAAGCTGTCTTTCTACCAGACGGACCGGTTCTGAACGAGACTCGGCCCAGATGAACTGCAGGAGGACGTCGAAGAGAGCTGTTGGATGGATGAACTATTAATTTAAAATTCCCCTCATTTCTTTTATTCAATCCATTCAAGTTCAGTTAACGTGTTTTAATAGTGTGTTCAGTTTAATTGTCAGTGTTTGTGTGACATAGTTTGTGGTGTTGAATAAATAAATAAAAATTAAACCTGATGTCTTCATTTTCAACTTTAGTGTTCACACAATATGTTTAGCATCATTTTAAATTTGAATTACATAATGTCCAGATAGCTTCATTTAGCTCAGAGCTTCATTATCTCTCACACTAACATAAATACTGTTTATTATTATTAAACTGTTGTTATTTAGCACATTTATGTTATAGTGCAGCGCGAGGTGTGCGCGTGCCACATTCTATAAACAGCGATATTAGAAGTGGATCACACTGTGTCTCTTCCAACACAGATGTCGGTCACAGCACAAATCTGACGTAGATTAACTACGAGATTAAAATATATTCCATCAGTCGTAGTTATGAAAGCAGTGTATTCACCGCCATGTTGATAGAAATATAGCGTCTGTCCGCGTGTGTGTGTGCGCATGTGGTTTAACACAAAGCCTCAGCGGGAGATGTTTACATTATCAGCGGGGGGTCAGCGAAAAACCTCCACTCTGGAAGGTGGGTTGAAAAACCTCCGGATTCAAAGAGGGGGGCCACTGGTGTCATGTAAATGATCAGCAGAACCGCAGAGAGAAAGCTGCGGATGCACTCAAAATACGTGCCGTGTAAACGGCCCCTAAAAGTTCCAACTTTTTCATGACACAATTGTGATGGTTCTCATCAGCAACTGGGATAAAATACTAGAGGGGCAAGGTGAGCCACCTTGTCATGGGCAAAGATGAAGGAGATTGTTGTGGACTTCAGGAGAACACATAAACAGCATGCTCCTCTGAGCTATGGTGCTGCTGTGGAGAGGGTGAGCAGCACCAAATTCCTGGGGGTGCAGGTCACTGAGGACCTCTACTGGACCAAGAACATTGCATTACTCAACAGCGCCTCATTTTTCCTCCTCAAATTGAGAAGCACCTGAGCCCTCACCCCCCATCACCTTCTACAGGGAACCACTGAGAGCATTTTGACAGACTGCATCACTGTTGAATAATGTAGAAGATCATTTGCACATTTTTCCTCTCTCTCCAGGACACAACAACACTTGTCTGTCTCGCAAAGTTTTGTATTGTATTGTATGCGATCCCACCCATCACACAGCCTACTCAGTTTGTTCCCATCATGAAGGAAACTGTGGAGTCTCATGGGTAGATTAATCGACCAGGCTGTCAGGAAGCTGAACTCAGTTCCTTCTTTGCCCATTCATCCAGAAACCATTGATTGTAATACCAATCCCACCCCCATTCTCTGTATGTCTTGTACACAAGGAAAATTGACAATAAAGCTGACTTGACTTGACTTACCGGTAATTAAATAAATGGTTTATATAGTTTTACATTATTTTTTAGGTTTGCTTGTGAATGGGCTGACACAAATGGTAAATGGACTGTACTTTTATAGTGCATTTCTATATTATCAAGACACTCAAAGTGCTTTACAACACAATCTGTGTCCTCATTTACCCATTCATGCAGCACTCTACTAGATCTCTACAAAGCTAATTGAACAAGTCATTCTAAAGAGACTAATCAGATCTTTAGATCACATTCATACACTGATGGGACACACATCAGAGGCAATGAGGGTTTCAGTGTCTTGTCCAGGGACACTTAGACATGCGACTGCTGGTGGATTCAAACCCCCAACTCTTGCATTGGAAGACGACAGCTCTAACCGCTCATCCACAGCCGCCCCAAACATATTTAAACTACAGTATGTCTAACTTTCAAACATTATAAAACATGGAATTTAGAGGGGAAAAAAAGAGATTTGGGGAAAAACTATAACAATTTTTCAAAGTTCATGCTCAATCATCCAGGTACAAAATCCAATAATGCTCAATCAGGTCATCTGGACGGTTTCTTTTTTGTGGAGAGACGTTTTGCCATCTATCTGGAGGGCTGTCCAGATGACCTGACTGAACATTATTGGATAAAAACAATTTTATATCACTCTATGTTAGTAGGTTTGTTTAGTAGGAATGTAATGGACATTTTCCTTACCTCCAGCATGCTGGCATCTCCTGAGATGAGCATGCAAAGAACTGGGATTTCAATACTGCCACTACCTATTGTTGGACAAAGATAAGTTTTAATAAGTCAGAAAGAAAATTAATAAGCAAGAAAGAAAAATAAAATAAAAAACTTTGGTGAGCAACACATTGACAACCCAATATTTCTTAATAAAAAAATGTCTAACCTTTATGAACACAAAGAAAAATTACAAAAGACTAAAAATCACCTCACCCCAAATGCCTGTGCGCTGATTGGAAATGTAGTCTTCCAGTTTAGAACGAAAAGCTTTCTCGCCCCCCCACTGACCAACTGTTCCATTGTCCACCAGAAGGAAAGCTTGATAACTGTTGTCCAAGCAATTGGAGTCATGTGATGAGTTGTGGACATAGTAACGAGCAGGAAAACTCCCCTTCAAACAGACACCAAAAGGTTAGCACAGCTGCTATCATCATGCTGAAGTTTTAGTGAACCTGACTCCTCCCATCCTCCTGTAGAATGATGCATGGGGTACCTTAGCATTGACCAGCTGCTGCTTGTTGTGGACCAGACCCCAGGGGGCCACACCAATAGCTATGACTTTTTTCTGGGACAGAGCTGTAGCTGCAGCGCCATGGTCTCTCACAGCTTCACCCACACAGCGGGACACACCCTCTCTGAGACCCCCTGTCAAAATCCAGGCCCCTGGACAGAAAGTTTGTTACAATATGATGTGACTCAACACGTGCAGGACATGCCGAATAAAAATTTTAAAGTTAAAGTAAGAGACTTCCTTTTGAGAGTGTGCTTACCTGTGCTCTGTGCAGCCCTAACCAACCCTTTTCTCAGGATATCTCTCACCCATGACTTAATCTTTCCTTGACCTTCTCCCCCTACCACTGACACCACCAGGTTGGGCAAGGGCAGACCCCAGTGTGTCGTCATCAGGTTGTAGATGATATGCGGTTGTGTGTCAGACGAAAGCCGCAGAAACTAAACAGAACAGAGGTGATAGCTGATGCATTATACTCAGGCATAATATATGACAAAATACAATAAAGTCCCCACACAACCATCCATTTATCCATATCCTGCCTGTGGTTGGATCTTGGGGGCAACAGGTCCAGGAAGTAAACCCAGGCATTTGTATTCCTAGTGACACTTTTTAGCTCCTACTGGGGTATTCCAAAGCGTTCTCAGCAGGCTAGAAAAGATATATAATCCCTCGAGTGAGATCTGGCTGTGTCCAAGGGTCTCCTCCCAGTGGAACGTGCCTGGAGGACCTCTAAAGAGAAGTGTCCAAGAAGTATGCTATTCTGATACCTGAACAACCCCATCTGGCTTCTTTTAATACAGAGGAGAAGTGAATCTAATCTGAGCTCCCCTGACATGATGGAGCTCCTCACCCTTTCTCTAAAGCTGAGTCTGGCCACCCTACAATGGAAGATCAGTTCCACTGCTTGTATCTGGGATTTTGTTCTGTCAGGCATGGTTCAGACTAAATCTCATACTGTGTCACAGGTTTTCTTTATCAAGTGTCTATCTCACAAAAATGAGTTTATTATTTAAATTTTAGGAAGTTGTCTGTCCTAATAGTATATGAACCAAAGGTCATCAGGGTGACAACTTTTACATTTTATTATTACCATAATAATAATTATTATTTATTTTATTATTATTATTATTATTATTATTATTATTATTATTATTATTATTATTATTATCTTGCTTTAAAAAGTTTTCAGTTGATGTCTCATTCTCTATCTGATTGGTGCTGATAGCTATGTGTACATGAATCATTAAATGCTTTACATAACTATAGATTATGTTTACAAAGAGATGATGTCATGTAAAACTACAATTATCCATCCATCCATCCATCCAGCAATCCATCCATCCATCCATCCAGCCACCCATTACCTTCCGCTTATTCCGAAGTTAGGTCTCGGGGATAACAACTTGAGCAGGGAGGCATAGACATCTCTTTCAATAGCCAACTCTTCCAGCTTTTCTGGGAGGAGTCCAAGGCTTTCACAGGCCAACAGAGAGAGTGTTTCTACTCCGAGTCTCTCCCGGATAACTGAACTTCTCACCCTATCTCTAAGAGAGAGTCCAGCTACCCTGTGGAGGAAGCTCATTTCAACTGCCTGCATTTGCAATCTCATTCTTTCGGTCAGTACCCAGAGCTTGTGACCATAGGAGAGAGTAGGAATGTAAACCAAATGGTAAACAGAGAGCTTTGCCTTACAGTTCAGCTCCCTCTTTGCCACAAAGGACTGGCAGAGAGGTCGCGATACTGCAGATGCTGCATCAATCTGTCTGTCAATCATGTTCCATTTTTCCCTCACTCATGAACAAAACCCCAAGATACTTAAATTCCTCCACTTGAGGCAGAACCTCGCCCTTGACCATGGCCTCAGATTTGGAGGTGCAGATTCTTATCCCAGCTGCTTCACACTGGGCTGCAAAACACTCCAGTGAAAGTTGAAGATCATGGCACTATGACACCAACAGGACCACATCATCCGAAAATAGCAGAGAAGGAATCCTGAGGCCACCAAACTGGACTCCCTCTGACACCCTGGCTGCACTGAGAAATTATGTCCATCAAAGTTATGAACAGAATCTGTCACAACAGGCATCCCTGGTGGAGTCCAACTCTCACACTGAAGCGGTCAGACTTACTACCGGCAATGCGAGCCAAACTCTTGCACCGCTTGCATAGCAATGGGCCCCCAATCTCATACTCACAGAGCACCCCCACAGTGTACCTCAAGGAACACAATTGAAAGCCTTCTCCAAGTCCACAAAACACATGTAGACTAGATGGGAAAACTCACATGACCCCTTGAGGACCCTAGTGAGGGTAAAGAGTTGATCCAGTGTTCCATGGCCAGGACAGAACTCGCATTGTTCCTCCTGGATCTGAGGCTCGACCAATGATCAAATTCACTTCTCCAGTACCCCTGAATAGACTTTACCAGGTAGGCTAAGGAGGGTGATGCCCTTATAAATGGAACACACCCTCCAGTCCCCCTATTTGAAGAGGGGAGCCACCACCTCAGTCTACCAATCCATTGGCATTGCTCCCAATGTCCACACAATGTTTCAAAGGTTTGTCAACCAAGACAGCTCCATACCATCCAGAGCCTTAAGGAAATCAAGGTGAACCTCATCCACCCCAGAGCTCCGCTGCCGCCGAGCTTTTTAACTACCTCGATGACCTTAGCCACAGTTATGGACAGAAAAGTCCCAGACTAAGCTTCCTCCATGGAAGACTGGTGGGATTGAGAAGATCTGAGAAGTATTCATTCTACCTCTTGACAACATCACTAGTGAGGTTAACAGCACCCCACCTTCACTGAACAGTGTTAGTGAAGTGCTGCTTTCCCCTTCTTAGTCGTCTGATGGTTTGCCAGAATCTCCTCAGAGCCAACCAAGAATCTTTATCTAAAGCTTCACAAAACTCCTTGCACTGCCGAGCTTTTGCCTCAGCAACAACCAAGGCTGCAGGCCACTTGGCCCTCTGCTACTCCTCAGCTGCCTCCGGAGTCCCACCAGCCAAAAAGGCCCAATAGGACTCCTTCTTCAGCTTGATAGCCTCCTTAACCTGGGGTGTCCACAACCAAGTTTGAGGATGGCCACCACGAGAAGCACTGACAACCTTGTGGCCACAGCTCAAGACAGCTGTGGAGCTGTCTCAGCTGTGGAGCTGCAATTGAGGTGCGGAACATGGCCCATTCGGTCTCAATGTCCCCCGCCTCAGCTGGGATGCGGTTAAAGCTGTCTTGGAGGTATGAGTTGAAGATCTTTCTGATGGATTCTTCTGCTAGGAATTCCCAGCAAACCCTCACTACACGTGTGGGTCTGTCCAACATCTCCCCCCCGCCATCTTATGTAACTCACTACCAGGTAGTGATCAGTTGACAGCTCAGCTCCTCTATTAACTTGGGTGTCCAAAGCAAACAGCCGCAAATCAGATGACATGACTACAAAGTCAATCATCGATCTACGACCCAGGGCATCCTGGTGCCAAGTGCACTTATAGACACCCTTGTGTTCAAACATGGTGTTAGTGATGGACAAGCTATGACTAACACAGAAGTCCAACAACGGGTTCAGATCAGAGAGGCCGATCCTCCCAATCACAATCCTCCAAGTCACACTGTCATTACCCACATGTGCATTGAAGTTCCCCAGCAGAATAAAGAAGTCCCCAGCTGGTACACCTTCCAACACCCGCGCCAATAAGACTGTATACCGAACCGAGGTTCTTTTATAGCACTGACTGAACTACATTGGTCAGTGTATGGATTGAAACGTCACTCTTCTTTTGGTGTCAAGTTTCGGTATTGGCTGTAATGTGTCACATGGTTTCAGCACGCTGGCAGGTAAAACACAGACATATGACAAACAGACTACGTGTTTACACCCAGAGCTGTATAGAGCAGCCGTACGGCTTGTATGTCTATGGTGCTGATTATGCCCACAGAAGGGGTTCACGTGTGTAACGCGTGTGTTGTCGAATGGCTTAAATTTACGAGCAGAAAGTTGCTCCGTGTTTTTCTGCAAGGAAAGAGAAGGACAGCAGCCTCCCCCCTCCTCCTCTCTCAGCATTAAAGTCAGCCTGTGAGTGTTGAACGGCCTGATTCATTATCTCCATGACCGGACTCGTCTTCATCAAAGAACTCTGAGGACGGAGCTGTGTGTGGAATTTCAGCTGATAAGTTTACGTTCGTTAACATTACTGCAGCTTAATACGTGCATCGCAGTGAATGAAACTAGAATCCATGTAATGCTAACTTTAAGATATTAGTGTAAAGCTTTACTTTATCTACGTAGCTAGCTAAACTCAGAAGCTAACTAAAGATTGACAGTAACAGATAAAGCTTAGCTTGTACAAATGTGCCCATCCATCGGGTCAGCTGCTTAAACAGTTCACCTAATGTTCACTGTTTGTTAATGAATCTTTTGTAATAAACTTTTGGATGTTCAGTTTTACCCTGCGTGACCTTGTCTGCAGCTGGGAAACCAGCAGGTCCCGTGCAGGGGTCGTACTCTCTGATCAAAGCTTCACACAGAAGGTTGTAATCCCTCTTCGTTGCATCAGGTAGACGCTCGATGAAGGTGAACACCTCTCTGTCCGAAGTGAGCCGTATCAGACTGATCTTATCCTCTGTCGTAGCATTAGGATAAGATCTCAATCTGAACTCCAGATCTTTGAGATACGCTTTTGTCCCAGCTGACCCCATCGGTCCGGGAACGAAGCGTTGTACATATTTTGAGATCTTCTGCAAATCATCCATTGAAGGAGACTGTATCACCAGTCTAACTTGTGTGACTGGTGGTGCAGACTGGTCAAGGCCTGCCCCTACCGCCCATGGTGGGGGTGGGGGTGGCTGATAAGGGTTGGTAGGAGGAGGTGCATATTGGTGCAGGTCTGTCCCCACCCTCCGAGATGGGGGTGGAGGGGACCGCATGGTGTCAGGAGGAAGAGGTGCAAGTGGTTGCAGGTCTGTCCCTACCACCCGTGGTGGGGATGGAGATGACTGCATGGTGTATACCGATTCAGTGAGTCGATATCGGTGCAGGTCCATCCCCGCCGCCCGAAATGGGGTTGGGGGTGGCCGCATGGCGTTAGGAGGAAGAGGTGCAAGTGGGTGCAGACCCGTCCTTATCCCCCGGGTTGGGGGTGGCTGATAAGGGTTAAGGGGAGGAGGTGCAACAGCACCTGTCTGGGGTGGTTGTAGCTGACCCTGTTCGTCTCTGAGTCTCAAACCAGCTAGCTCCATGTCAGAAATCAGGTTTGTAGCTGTAGCAAGCCTCTCCTCACAAGCTGTCAGGCGCTCATGTGTTGTCTGATTTTCACTTTGTAAATTCAGCCAATTTCGGAGTATTATCTCCTTGTCTGCTTTGCAATCGTCCAGCTCCTTTAATGCCACCTGCAACTGTGCTTGTAACATATTGTTATCTGCACACGCGGCTTGGTACGC